AAAAATTCTACTTTATGGTAAAAAGAAGAAAAAGTCATTCGTTCTTCGACGAATTGTTTGTACAGAACATCACACAAAGACTGAGATGTGGTTTTTGTTCTGGATATACGAGAAAAGAAAGAAAATAATTGGATTAATCATGTTTTCGTCCGAGGTAATGATCGTTTTCGACGAGGGACGACTATTTTTACAGGGGGCTCACAAGCACAAAGCTCACAAGCAATGCGTACCTTTTAGTGCCGTTAACTTTACTGCACGATCCGAAATAGACGGGAGATCCATCATCGTTCGCCATTTTCGTGTAAAGTCAAGAATCAAGCGCAGCGCGTAGTCGTAGGAGCAGAGACATAGAATCAAGAAAAGATTCAACATTAGCAACGTACGTTTGATACAAATAACGATCGTGACAACGGTTACGTGTGTAATGTAATTTCACTCGAGAGAAATAGAAAGCGCAGAGGGCTTTCGAATCTAGTTTTCTAGCATATCTCGAAAAAAGAAGAAATCTCGATCGTTCCCTTAGGGAAAAGTCACGAATACCCGAAGCTTGAAACTTTGCGCCGGGACTGTCGAAATCTAGGTAAATAAGACTTACGAGAACGTTGCGGTGATACGAGTTTATTCTTACATCTCGCGAATGTAATACTCCGAGATCGAGACTGCGAGTAATTCGATTTTCTTCTCATCGAAGAAAATCGACAAGAATTTTCAAATATTCTCTACAAAAGAAGAAAAAAAAGAAAAAAATATCGCGAGTATCTGGCAAAGTTTCCGGCTCGAGTTTCGCTCCAAAGTGAAATCTTGACGATACCCACCTAACCTCATCGTCCGCCATCGTGGTACCTGGCTGCTAACACACCTGCTCTACCTAAAAATAAAAGTGCAGAAGGAGGATACGTTTCACGTATTCGTGGCAAAATATTACAACAATATCGTCGTCGTCGTCGTCGTAGCGTTACGTCAGCGGCGTAAATACGATCGTTTCGGTGACACGAATTACCGAAACGAAATGCAAACATTACATACGGCGGGGTTTAAATATAAACTGCCCGGCGAGGACGAGGGGTCATGGGAGTGAGGGGGGAGAGAATTCGCGAGGAAGGAGAAATTCGGATGAAGACGACGAATGATTTCCAATTGCGTCACTTGCGACGGAGGTTTTTCTTTTTTTTTTTTTTTCCCCCCTCCGCCGGCCGGTCTGGATAGTCGGTTTCTGCAGATCGACGCAGATAAATCCTACGTCCTGAAACGTAAATTTTGCCTCTCGCTGCACACGATCGCTGCGACGGCGGTATAGAATATCCGGTGCTCGAAAATAGACGCGGGCCGTCCCCCACTTTCCGGTGCCGTCGCCGAGACGTCGCTACGTCGACGATCCAAATTTGGATGCAACGACCCGGTAGATCTCGCCTCGTCTCCACCGCGAGAAACTCCGGACTGGATTCGGACGGCGAGAAACGGGAAGGCGGATCGAACTTGAGGGAACGAGGAATCCTTCTTGAAACGTCTTGACTTGCCCCGGTCATGGGGAAACTAAAATTCTGGATCGGCGTGTCGGGACTAAAGTTCTCGACATTGAGCGAAATGAAAATGGGAAATTTAATATATATATAGGAAGGAAATCGAGTGACGAAAATATAATCATTTCTCCAAACATTGGGACATGTAATAGGCATGGATGATGAAATCGTTGAAGAAGACGCGGTCGTTGATAAACGAGAATACGAAAGCTCGATGTAATTCATTTTCTTGGCAAACGTCTTACGTGCCGACGCGGCCGCGACGGCAATGAGTCAGAAATAATGTTTGAAAATAGATATCAACTTTATTGCACGGACGAATTGTATAACTCGGGCGTGCGCGGCTCTGTTCGAAGTAGCAATATGGTATCAGAAGAATGAAATTCTTATTCTTCGAGAGCAGGGAATTTTTCGAACAAACGTTTCGACGATCGATTTCTTTTTGGCGTTCACGTCGTGAAAAAGAAAAGGAAGAAAGAAATGAAAAAGATCGCCTATTTACAGAAATCTCAGTGAATGCAAATGCTTTATATATTTATAATGGACGATCGCCTTCGCTAAGTATAGATTCCCTCTCGTTCGAACCATTCCAAGACACGTCTCGCCGTGACTCCGATATGTGTCTCGTCTCCGGTGTCAAAGACGATCTCGGCACCATAAAAATAGAAAACGCGCAGAATCTATCTCGAATGATCTGATCGATGAGCCTGATCGATCGACCCTCTATCAACGAGCGACGTTCATTTTTACCTCGAAAAATCGAGTGCACTGCGCCAGGAGACACGGTGGGGAAAAGACGTGTGTCATCGTCGATTCTTTTCACCGTATGAAATTGAAAAAATCGGCAGACGGATCGCGAAGACTCGGAACGGAGTCAGAAGAGTTTTTTTTCTTTTTGAGCTTGCGAGAGACGAACGATAAATTGCGTGGACAGAGTTATATTGGTCGAGAAGAATACTGGTACAAGGCTGTTTACGTAGATCCGAGGCGACAACGAGACGATCACTGCGATTTCTTCTCGCGTTCGAATATTCGGCTATGAAATGCAACGAGCTGAACAAGATTCGAAATTATTCTTGAAATATCATACGAAAGGTATCTGATCATTATCTCCGTTCTCTTGAAAGAAAGAAAGAAAGAAATTCGAAGACGTGGATGGAAAGCGGTGCAAGGCACCATCATAGATTTCCGAGACTGTCGACACAACTTCGTCGAAGGAGAGAAGAAAGGAACGTTTCACCTCCTCGCGGGAAGAAGAAATTAGGCGAATATATATCGGGGGCTTCTCTCTCGCTTCTCTGCCCGTCACAAACGCAGGATCATCTCACTGGAACTCGATCGGTCTCGCGTCACCTCAATTATCTGGAAGCAAGCCGCAACGCGTGGTGCAACACTCGTGACCTTGAAAAAAGTCTGCCAAGCACACCTCTCACTGACACTCGATATTCGAGAAACGATCCGGCAGATCGGAAACGGGGGGGAAGATCCGTTGATGCCGGTTCGATTCCGGCACGAATCTTGAAGAAGAGACAGAAGAATCGTGCGTTCTCCAGAGTGCTCCCCGCAGGCAGATCGATTGAAGATGACGATTGGGCTTACCTTTGCGAAGAACTTTTGCTGGCTGCGACTGGCCAACCGGACCTTAGGCAGCTGACTGTGCGATCGTGGATCCCTAGTCGACGTCGTGAACCTCCGTCGTAGGCTGTTCACGTGGCAGTGGCCGACCAATGACGACTCGCCATTGGTCGCAAGCATTTTTAGGCGAGAGCTATGCCCGCTCTGCTTGCTGCCAAAAATAATCGGCAACTGAAAACGGAGCCGGGGGCTGCTGCTTCGTCGTTCACTCGTTCGGCTACTCGTTCAATCTACCGCTTGCCTTCGCGGCAACACGCTTGATTAAGTATGTTAATCCGGCATGTTATGCGTGCTGAGGCGAGAGATGCATGCCACGGGCTTCCTCGTTTTCCTTTCACCCTCGCTAATGAAGATCGATCGGCTAGGCCAGCCGTTTCTCCTTAATTCGCACTCGAGAAACAACACCGTAGTACTATTGTCTGACTTAGGAACAATAGATACCCGACTAGAAGCTTGAGAATTTGCGTCGAAGATTTTCCAGACCTTCTTCCGTTGGAACAAAGGATAGAAAAACGTTTCGAGATATTTACACGTTCGTGGCGTTGATTATCTTGAAATTTGGATTTCTATAGATAATGATCGATTAATTTATCGAGCGGAGATCGAATAAAAAGTGTAAATGGAAATTTAATAATCGTAGCTGATTGTTCGAACATCTCGAAACGCGTCAAGCCAAAACGAAGATATTATTAACAGATTGTTCAGGATTTTAAGCGTGCCAGCTGTTTCGCACTAAATGCAGCGAAAAACTGGCGAAAACAGCGTCGCTTAAGCGTGATACTTGTAATTTCACTCGATATTACATGTTCTTTGAGTTTTAACGACACCCGTGACACACGCGAAGTTACGATCGAACCATTTCCGAAGGGTCTATTTCCAGGCTTGTTAACGCGCACAGAATTTCCTCTCAAATATTAATCGTACATCCGTATATTTAACTTAAATGAAAAA